GAGGGGCGCCTCATCCAAGATCGATCATTTCATATGCCCCACACCGGCGCTTGCTAGCATTCAGAAGGTGAGCACGCTGATCCGTCTGGGGCGCAAACTTCAATTGCAGCCCAGCGCGACCCTCGAGGACCATGTTCCCGTATATGTGGAGATGGCGCTTCCTAAGAAGAAATACAGTGTGCACGCGCTCTCTCCGCCAGCTCACAGGGACCACCTGATGCAGGCTCAAACCACAGGGGCTCGCCGCCAGCAGTACTTCGAGACGGTGATGAGGCACCTGGAGAACGACGACGACAGCTACAAGACGGCAATGCAGAGCAATAACGTGCAGGCGGTGTGGGACCACATTGCAGGTGCGGTCAGGCGGGCCCTGGAAGAAGTATTTCCTCCTGGCCCACGTCGCACGGCAGAATGCGAGGAGTACAGGAGCCAGCGCATGGACTTGATCAGGCGCAGAGGAATGATGAGAGCCGAGGGAGCTGACAATAATGAGGAGGAGTTCGAACGAGTCCAGCGACAATTGCATCAGATCACGAGGCGCCTTCAGAATCTTCGGAAACAGCAGACAGCCGACACGCGACAAGCACTACTCCACGAACTGGTGTTAGTGTGGAAGAACCAGCAGTGGGCGCAGATGCACAAGATCTAGAACAGCCTGACATCTACAGGCCGCGGGCCCAAGGAGCGCTACATCTTCGCAGTGCGGCAGAACATGACAGTGGAGGAATGGCGGGGCGGACTACAGCTACAACCACACCAGGGCGGCATGCAAGCGAACTCCATCAATTGGGATGATGCGCTCGACGACGTGCAGTTCCTTCCCAAAGTTCTCGAGCGGGACCGAGCCATCCAGCTCGCACAGGCCGACCTCGAGGGCCAGATCCGCTACCTCAAGAAGGCCCCCAAGCGCAGAGCAACCCCGAGGCGTGGGAGCGTACGCGGAGGCGCTGCTGCAATTGCTATCTCCTGCGTACCACAGGGCGGAGGACCCCCGCGGCAACGGCGGGGAGGTGGACATCACGCCTACGGCATTTCGTCACAAGTATCAGCAGTTCGTCACACTTGTCAGAGAGACAGATCAGGTTCCCCCCAGCTTCCTCCGCTCGCAGATGTTCGCCCAAAGCAAGGACAACGGGAAGATAGGAATCAAGGGACAACGGCTCCTGCACTGTTTCGACTCCTGCAGCATGAGCTGGTTTGGCCAACTCGCGCGCAGGCTCAGGGCACCTCCGAAGTTCCCGTCTTTTGCTCACGGAGGCATACCAGGTCGAAGGAGAGAGGGGGCCATTCTCGCCTTGAGCAGCGCAATGTGGCGCTGCAGAGATTTGAAGCTGAGTCACGCGCTGAGCAACTTTGATGGCACGAACGCGTTCGCGAGCACGGACAGGGAGCATTTGAGAGCATTGCACAGCGCGCAGCACTACGAGCACAACATCGAACTGTGCAAGCATGCCATCGACGGTTTAGTTGTGCACGCCAACGGCATCGATGGCGAGCTAGATATGAAACCAGCAAGGGGCACAACTATGGGACATGCATTGGCAGCAGGGGACTTTATTGCAGTATACACGCCGTAAGTGCAGCAATGGAATCAACAAATGGGGGAGCGCGATCACACGTATACTTGGTTGCAGTGCGACAACTTACTCGACGAGGATGAGACGGAGACTGGAGGGCAGGTGGAGGACATCGGAATTGGGCTGTACGTAGACGACGTATCCAGGGTGCACATGCATGCACATGTCGCGTCACCACGTGCAATGGAGCTCCAGCTAAACACGGCAACAAGCAAGCTGAGCACATGCATCGGAGCGACGGGGCACACACTCAACGAAATCAAAACGAATCACATCACGCACATCATAGGCAAGGGGTCGTTCGCAGCAGTTAAGACGCTTGCAGCGCCCCGCTCGGTATCAGGCAGTATTGTCAGAGAGGCACGTGTACTAGGACCTCTCATCACGTTTGACGGCAGTTTGCGTGCAGAGCTTCGAGGGCGCATCCGTGCTGCTCGAGCTGGGTGGAGATCGCTGGGGAAGCTGTGGGCTGAACCAGTGCCGCTCAGGATGAGGAGACTTCTTCCCCACATCCAAAGTGGGGTTCTTGTTTTCTCTGCGCACCCCCCGCGCAGGATCTCACACCCTCTCTCTCTCTCTCTCTCTCTCTCTCTCTCTCTCTCTCTTCCTCTTTCTCGCCATCATCATCATCAGTCATCATCATCATGACCCACGCCTCTCCTCCTCAGCACCATCACACTTACCCATGCACCACTCGATCGCTCACTCACTCACTCACCCACTCACTCACTCACTCATCATGATCATCACATGAGGATATCCTCCGTTGGCGTCACACATCACTCAGTCAGTCCGTCACTCACTCGAGTATCAAGCGGGAGCGTCGTCTGTGAGTGAATTGCGAGGAAGTCTCAGGCGGGAGCCTCTCCCTATGGGGCCCGCAGATCATCTTACTAATCCGAGGCGGGTCATCGGGATCCTGTAACTGTCGTCACTTTTGGGCTCCTGGGGCGTGAATTTGGAGGAAGTATCAGGCGGGAGCGTCGTCTGTGAGTGAATTGCGAGGAAGTCTCAGGCGGGAGCCTCTCCCTATGGGGCCCGCAGATCATCTTACTAATCCGAGGCGGGTCATCGGGATCCTGTAACTGTCGTCACTTTTGGGCTCCTGGGGCGTGAATCTGGAGGAAGTATCTAGCGGGAGCCTCGTCTGTGAGTGAATTGCGAGGAAGTCTCAGGCGGGAGCTTCTCCCTATGGGGCCCGCAGATCATCTTACTAATCCGAGGCGGGTCATCGGGATCCTGTAACTGTCGTGACTTTTGGGCTCCCGGGGCGTGAATTTGGAGGAAGTATCAGGCGGGAGCGTCGTCTGTGAGTGAATTGCGAGGAAGTCTCAGGCGGGAGCCTCTCCCTATGGGGCCCGCAGATCATCTTACTAATCCGAGGCGGGTCATTGGGATCCTGTAACTGTCGTCACTTTTGGGCTCCTGGGGCGTGAATTTGGAGGAAGTATCAGGCGGGAGCGTTGTCTGTGAGTGAATTGCGAGGAAGTCTCAGGCGGGAGCCTCTCTCTATGGGGCCCGCAGATCATCTTACCAATCCGAGGCGGGTCATCGGAAACCTGTAACTGTCGTCGCTTTTGGGCTCCTGAGGCCTGAATATGGGAGAAGTATCAGGCGGGCGCTCCATCCCTGTGGGGCACGCACTTCATGTTCGAACCCGAGCGGGTCATCCGAGCGAGCTTTTTGGGCTCCTCAGTTCCTGCGGCCTGAACAAGGGGGAAGTATCAAGCGGGAACTTTGTCTGTGGGCGGTGCGGGTAGTCCCGTCTGAGGACCGTCTCTTGTCGTCACTTGGAGGATCGAAGGGGAACTCGCTCCTGCGGCCTGAATATTCTCTTTCGACTTGCCCACGTCCAATTGCTGGCCAACCTTGTCGTCGTCGGCGGGAGAGGGAACTTGAAAAGGTTCACTCTCCCGCGTTCGTTTGGGCTGGGGAGGGAACTTGAAAAGGCCCCCTCTCCAGCAGCGGGAAAGGGAACTTGCAGAGGTTCACTTTCCCGCGCGTTCCAACTGGAGAGGGAACTTGAAAAGGTCCCCTCTCCAGTTTTTTTCTGACCCCCCCTTTTCCTAACACCGATGTTTCAATGGACTAAGGGGTCACTAACGCAATGTTTTTCTCGGGCGTCGGGGGAGGAATCGCGCTGGCCGGAAACGGAGCTGAGCCTGGCGCGGGCGCTCGATGGAAAACCCTCACGAAACGCTTTGAAATCGATGATTGCGGATGACGAGCAGCACATTTTGCAATTTCCCCATAGGGGGATGGAACGCAATGTACGTTTTTCTTTGGCATGCGTCACGAAAACGGCCCCTCGAGAACGAAAACGACGCAACGCCCTATTTTCATTATGAAACAATTAGCATTTGAGAGAGTTTTTCATAGATGCACGTGCCCGGGGGTCCTGGAGGAGGAGGAGGAGGAGGAGGAGGAGGAGGAGGAGGAGGAGGAGGAGGAGGAGGAGGAGGAGGGCAGGAGGAGGAGGAGGAGGAGGAGGAGGAGGAGGAGGAGGATAGGAGGAGGAGGAGGAGGAGGCGAGGAGCAGCAGGAGGGGGAGGAGGGGGAGGAGGGGGAGGGGGCCAGCGCCAGACCGAGTCGTGAGGAGGGGTCGGAGGAGGAGGAGGAGGAAAGAGGAGGAGGAGGAGGAGGAGGAGGAGGAGGAGGAGGAGGAGGAGGAGGAGGCGGAGGAGGAGGAGGAGGAGGGGCAGGAGGAGGAGGAGGAGGAGGAGGAGGAAGAGGAGGGGCAGCAACGTCAACATCGGCGATGTCGGGCGGACGTTGCTAGGGGCTAAGCGTGCGAAGGTCCTCTCCTCAGGCCGGACGAATGTGTGCGACAGGGAAAGGAGGGGGGTACGAAATCTGATGCATTCAGAGAAGGGGTAGACAAGGGAGGAAGGTACAAGGAGGATAGGAGGCAGCAGGAGGAGGAGGAGGACGAGGAGGCAGGCGGAGGCAGGAGGATTCAGAGGAGGGGTAGTCAGGGTGGAGGAAGGAGGAGGAGGAGGAGGAGGAGGAGGAGGAGGAGGAGGAGGAGGAGGACGAGGACGAGGACGAGACGAGGACGAGGACGAGGACGAGGACGAGGACGAGGACGAGGACGAGGAGGAGGAGGAGGACGAGGAGGACGAGGAGGACGAGGAGGACGAGGAGGACGAGGAGGACGAGGAGGACGAGGAGGACGAGGAGGAGGAGGAGGAGGAGGAGGAGGAGGAGGAGGAAAGGGGGGGAATGCGAACTTTGATGCGTTCAGAGGAGGGAGGGGTGAGACAAGAGTAGCCTTTTTACCTTCCCTGACATCCCCGCGGTGTGACAAAATCACGACGGCAGGTTTTCGGCAATTTTCGGCCTCTGGAGGCCCTCACCGGGCCTCGGGAGCGTCAAAAGCGACTCAGGATGAAAAACCGGTCCCAGGGAAGGGGTCCAGACCTCTGGGGACCGACGTTGTGAAAAAAACATTCAGAGGCGCGAGGGTTAAGATCTTCCTTGCTCGGGGGAGGGTTGCTAATGTTCTCCACTTTTTGGGGATGTAATTGTGCCACCTGGCGGAGGGCACCCTCGAATGTTATCCTGTTTCCTCAGCGGAAGGGCTAGTGTTCTTCATGAGTGTTATTCTGTCCTCGCGCGCACTGTACGAAATCAGATGCACTCAGAGTAGCGAGGGGTGAGACAAGGGTAGCCTTTTTGCCTTTTCTGGCTTTCGAAGAGCCTCTTCGTCGCCACGGCTGGATGCACAGTGAAAAACCAGTGCGTTTGGACCTCCTCCTCCTCCTCGTGCTCCTCGTGCTCCTCCTCCTCCTCCTCCTCCTCCTCCTCCTCCTCGTCCTCCTGCTCCTTCTCCTCCTCCTCTCCTCCTCCTCCTGAAAAACCAGTGCGTTTGGATCTTGGGAGGGGGCCAGGCACGGATCTAGAGCCGATCTGGCCAGCGCTGTCCCACCGCCTCTCCTCCGAGCGCAGCTGGCTTTGGGTCCTCCGCGAGGGGCCCCTTCCTCGATGCTTGGCCGCCTCGGGCGCCGGGAGACGCCAGGAACATCAGCTGGGTAAGTTGATTCTCCAGCCCTTCCCTCCCCGCCCTTCCCTGGAGGAGGAGGAGGAGGAGGAGGAGGAGGAAACCGAGGAGGAGGAGGAGGAGGAGGAGGAGGAAACATGCACAAGACGGGGGACATCCACGGCGTCTTACCGGCACACGTCGGCATGGAGGTCCGGTTCACGGCCGCGCAGGAGGAGCTGAAGAAGAAGTTGGGGCTCGTGCAGGAGCAACGGGCCACCATCGTGTCCTTCGAGTTTCACGCAGACGACGAGCGGGACTACGAGGAGTGCGCGCCGGGCCAGCTCTTCCGCCCCCGCTTCCTACCGCAGGGAATCTGGCTGCATGTGCACGGCTTCCAGGAGTCCCCGATCTACAAGGAGGTCGCCGAGGTGCTGCTGCAGGGCACCGAGGGCGCTGACGACGACGGCGAGGCCCAGGCGCGGGCGAGGAGCTTGCTCATGTTCAGGCCCAGCGAGCAGGAGTTCACGTGGCAGAGCTCGGGGGCGCACACTGTGCGCCGCTCGGGATTCACGCTGGCGCACGCGTCCTACCTGACCTCCACGCTGTCGCAGGGCCAGACGCTGCGCAAGGGCGTCGCCATCGACTGCGCCAGGGATGAGGACGCTGGCCGCACGGGCATGTCGGACGATATGTGGTGGCTGCACCTCTACGTCATGTTCTTCCGCGCCACGTGCATGCGGAACATGCTGATCCTGCGGCCGCCCGCGCGAGAGTTCCTGGAGCGCGGGCCGCCGGCGCCACTGCGGAAGGCGCTCCAGGAGTTCGACGAGAGAGCGGTGGACTCCAGGGCTGAAGCGGAGCAGCTCGCGGCAGAGCTGGGCTTCGTGCTGCCGCCCGCCTGAGCGCCGCGGCGCGCGCGAGGAGGCCCGCGGGGTTGCCCCAACGGCCTGGCCCGCGGGGTTGCCCCGACGGCCTGCCCTCGCGCTCCGGCGGCCCGCGGGAGTGCCCCGCAGGCATGGCTGGCCCGAAGGGTTGACCCGACGGCTTCGCGATCTGGCCGTCGGCAAATGTGCGCGCTCTGACCGAGGCGGCGACGGCGCCGAGGAAAATCGACTTGCTTCCCCCGACCGGGGGGAAAGGGACGTGCACGTGGAAAAGAGGCAGGAGGAGGACGAGGACGGAAGGGGCATGGGGAGGGCGATGATGAGGAGGAGGTGGAGAAGGAGGAGGAGGAGGAGGAGGAGAAGGAGGGGGGGGGAAATAGAAGAAGAGGAAAAAATGGCAGAGGAGAGGGCGATACGAGGGTGTTTGCCATGGCCGGGAGGAAAGGGATAAGGGAAAGCTAAACAGATTAGCATGCGGGGTCCTTCCGTCGGAGTAATTTTCATTGCGCACGTGCAGAGCGCAGGACTATCGGGGCTTACAGGCTTCGTACTGCCACGCAGCTTCACAGACAAGCTCGATGTGGTAGTTATCCGTTTCTTGCGTGTACTCAGCAGAGGGACTACAGAGGAGATAAACGGGAAGGTCAGAGGGGAGACTTACGCGAAAGTGTTCGCGCACCACAAGTTGTCGCGGACAGTGGTCGAGCTCAGGATCCAGCGGATCAGATGGTACCAAAAAATGGCGCAGCATCCCCAAAGACACGACCAAGTTCTTGCAGGTATTTTTGGAAGTACTCGAATGGACCTCGCAGTAGATAGGCCTCGCATGGGAGCACATGGGGACCCCAACGAACATAGCACCCCGTGGGCTCGACAAGTGTACTCCGACCTCGAGATTTTCGCGCAGGTCGATCCTGCTTCTAGGTTCGCTCAGGCTTGGAACTCGAGGGGCGGGTTATTAGATTTCTTCAGGAAGGAGGAGTTTCGGAAGGTGTTAATCGGAAAAAGGTTACAGCACATCAGGCACTTGCTTGACAGGCATTACGAGGCGGAGGAGAAGGAGGACAAATACAACGGAGCGGAGTACATAGAGGGGGAGGAGGACGCGAACGAGTACAGATGCACACGCGAAACACCTGAAGGCCATGTATGTGGGAGCGTGTTTACGACGATGAGGGCCTTGACGGCCCACCTGAACAAGACGCACCAAATGAGAGAGCTTTACTCCATGCTCGCGACGACGAACGTGTGTCCCTGGTGTCGGAGGATATATTTGCGTCTCGGGCCAGTTGCATCAGACGCGTGTGGGCCATGTCTCGGGCTAGTCCTCTTCGCTGCCCGACCAGAGCCGTTTCGTTCGAGTTTCAGCCGATCGAGGCGGCCAATTACTCCTGCGAGCTGTGCAGTCATCCCAGCACCGAGCTCACAGCCCACCTCGATCACGTCCAGCAGCACGCCGCAGGCCCAGCACGCGATGTCGCGGATGATTGGACAGCCCGCCCAGGGGTCTCAAGGAGTAAACGCAGGGGCAGGGCCACGGCGAGGAGGCAGACAGCCCAAGCGTGCCCGAGGCAAGGGGGCTGGAGCTGGCTCAGACGAAGATGTGGATGCGACAGCGAACGAGAAGATCTTCACGCTGCAGAAGCTCACGCTCAACAACGCACAGACGCTGAGGATCCTCATGGGAGCGCTGTGGGACTGCCTCATAGTCCCGATGGCGCACGCAGTGGCGTCCGAGGGCATGCGCATGGGGCAGGAGTACCACCGACTGAGCACCGAGGAGAAGCGCAAGGACCTGGGACCGCCCCACCTGCACATATTCGGGTGTATTATTATTCCCACGCTCGTGAAGATGCAGGGCTTGCCAGACGATACCAAGGCGATCCTCGAGCCATTCGCCAAGCTTATGACGAGCGTGGATCGCGAGGAACTCAACGACCTTGTCCGCTACTTCCGCATCAAGAAGACCTACAACGAGGACAACCAGAAAGCGGACCAGGCCAAGATTCACGCGATGCTGAGCCCGATCGCCATCAGTCCGTTCCACAGGCCTCAGCTGATCCAGCGATACAGGGACAAGACGGGCGACCAGGTCGAGATGCCGAACGCCACTATCGCAGAGATTCGGCTGCACTTGGTCAAAGCACTGGTGGCCAGCGGCGGTGTGGTAAAAATAGGCAGTCCACCACCAGGAGCTCTGGAGCGTGCAGTTCAGGCATCAGTGCAGGAGCAATCGATGTAGACGGGCTTCGCAGGATGGCGCAGGCTGGAAGCGAGAGGGCCAGACAGTTGCTGAGAGACCTCAAGCGCCAGTCCAAGTGAGGCGGAGCCGACACCATATAAAGTATGGCTCACGCCAGTGTCCAAATGGGCTGTCGTTTTTACGTGGGCGGTGGAGGGTGGCCTTTCGCCTCTTCCCTGTTGTTTTGTCTTGGGCTCGGGGCGGGGAAGTCAGTGTACTCACGCCGAAGGAGAGAGAAGCGGTGAGAGATGAGTGCTCGCCGTCTGCTTCACAAATCTCAGAAGCAGCAAAGATTTCCCGATCCAGTAGAGGCAGCAGATGCAGTAACTTGCACATTGCGTTCACCGAGGGTGGTGGGTGAGAGGAGCGGGGGGCGGGTGGGGGAGGGTCGCAGATAGCACGAAGGCGCGCCCAAGCCCTCAGACGAGCGGCGGAGCTGGCACTGGCACTCGCTTCTTTTTTTTTTTTTGTTTTCTTTGTTTTGTTCGCTTGCTTTCGGAGCCCGAGTCCCAGGGGCCTCCCTCCGCACCCTTCTGCCCTGAGGTTGAGGTGATGGGCCCAAGTGCTCTAAGCCTCAGCTCACAGAGTGTCGAATGCAGTGTGGTGCGCCTTCGTGCTAAAGCGGGCTTTGAAGGTCCAAGTTGGGCTATAAAGTCCCGCAGGCTTGCTCGAGATGCGCAATGAGCCAACCAGCAACGCTTGTCAGGCTTGATGTCTCACGTTGCAGAGGCCAGACGGTGTCAGACTCCAGTTGCCCAGGTCTTGCTTGCTTGCTCCTCCTCCTCCTCCTCCTCCTCCTCCTCCTCCTCCTCCTCCTCCTCCCCCTCCTCCCCCGTGTGGGGGGGGAGACCGTGGTCCATCCCCTCCTCAGCCTTCTTCTCCACGGTTCCTTCTCTTCCTCCTTCTTTCTCCTTCTCTGCCTCCTGCTCCCCTTCCTCCTCGTCGTCGTCATCCTCCTCGTCGTCGTCCTCCTCCTCCTCCCCTTCCTCCCTCTCCCCGTCCTCCTCCTCCTCCTCCTCTTCCTCCTCCTCCTCTTCCTCCTCCTCCTCCTCCCACCTCCTCCTGCCCCCCCCCCCCTCTTCCTCCTCCTCCTCCTCCTCCTCCTCCTCCTCCTCCTCCTCCTCCTCCTCCTCCTCCTCTCGGCCTTATTCCCCTTACCCTTCTGGTTCTCCTTTTTCTTCTCCCTCTCCTGTTCCCCGCCAGGGGGGAGGACAAGCCTCGAGGAGCGCAGTCTTCAGTTGCCCCCCCCTTCCCCCGCCGCCCCTCCTGCCTGCCGCCCGCCGCCAGGACGAGTGTCGCTGGCCAGGGCCCGAAGGCCCCGCGGAGGAGACACGCGAGCATCGTCGTCGGAGGATAATACTTTGAAGGACGAGGAGGAAGAGGAGGAGGAGGAAGAGGATGAGGAGGAGGAGGAGCAGGCGGAGGAGGAGGAGGAGGAGCAGGAGGAGGAGGAGGAGGATGGGGAAGGAGAAGGAGTTGGAAGATCCGCATGATGAATTACAATGGTGGGGGTTTGAAGCTGCGCGGGAGAAAGCATGGTAGCTCTTAGACGTAGACTGTGGGGCTTTTACTCTTCATCCAGTCAGTCGATACGCGCCGACGCTCGGATCAAACAGCGGCGACCCCTTTTATTTGAGTCGGGAGCGTGCGGGCGATCGAACAGCTCTGGCGGAGAAGGAAGGCCGAAGGAAGAGGGCAACCATCATTGTCCAACCACAAGCACATTCTAGACTCGGCAGGGAAACACCGTCGCTGTCTGACCTGACGGGCGCGCGACGGGTAGGGGGAGTGCGGGGTCATCTACTGTAATGGTGAGTTCGCTCGTGCTCTCAAGATCGGCACTAGAGGAGCTCACACGTGTAACTGATGATGCTGGTGATGATGATGGTGCTAATATGATGCTGATGATGCTGGTGATTATGATGAGTATGATGATGATGCTAGTTGTGATGATGATGCTGATACTGATGCTGCTGGTGATGGTGATGCTAGTGATGATGATGATGATGATGACGATGATGATGATGATGATGATGATGATGATGCTGATGATGCTGATGATGCTGATGATGCTGATGATGATGATGATGCTGATGATGATGTCGGTTTCCTCGTGCCGCATTGCGCATGATGGCGGTGACCTCGGGGCTCAGACGTGGGGTCTGAGCGCTTGTCCTAGGACATAGGCAAAGTGATGGCCCAGGGGTCACGTGGATGGAGAGGTGGAGGTGACGTGCCTTGACCTGGTGAGTGGGAAAGAAGGTGATGGATGGAGATAAGCCTTGAGGGATGTGCGCACTTTTTGACACTATCGCCCCAAGGTTCGCCGCGGTCACGATCTGCGGGAGCCTCTCCGATCTCAAACTTCGTTCATGATCTTCTCGTTGGGCGTGCCGAGCTGGGCATAGCCCGTGGGCGGGCTCTGCTGTGGGTCCTCGCCGGCGCCAGCCGTGCGGAAGGGCCGTACTGGCGCGCCGATATTTGGCCTTCTCCCCAAGCTTGTGGAATTGATTTTTCTTCTTGGATGATCGGCGATGTTCCACTGGCATATGAACTCCATAATCTCCTTGAGGTGTCCTCTTGATTGGGCTCCCTCTTGTTCTTCTCCTTGCCCCTTGTTCTTCTCCTTGCCTTTGCCAGCTGGCCAAACAGCGTGCTCGAGGGAGCCAGTGGGCGCCATGGCTCTTGTTCTCGGCCAGGATGGGCGCGGCGTCGACGGGCGAGATGGAGCCGGTTTCTAGCCCGACCCGTGAGCCATGTTGGAATTGTCGCCGTCAGCCTCACGAGTAATAGACTTGGGCTGGAAATGTGGAGAGACGTGGCGACGAGGTGGCATATGCGGAATGCTCTCTTCCCAAGGTGACAGGGAACGCAATACACGCGTTTGCCTTGCCGTCGGCAATTTGTAGCCGTGCGGCAGGCGAGGGGTGCCAAGGTGCGCTTCGTCGCGGGTAGCCAATGGGTGCCGATCGAGCCTTGGCCGTGAGCCAACGTCTTTGGGTGACAAAGAGCTGCGGCACTCGATGCTGGGCATAGCATGCTACGGCCTTGCGCCTTTCAGCCAGCCTGAGTCTCTGTGTGCCTTGAACATGAATTTGAGAAACATCTGATGCTGAAGTACCCCGCCTTGCCTCGTTGAGCTGCTGCACGTGACGTACTCGACCTGCTCGGCGGTAGCTCCATCGGAGGCCTGCCAGGAGGATGGGCCACAGCCGACCGCACGTTAGGCCGCCAATTCTCGTTTGGAGGCCTGACGAGGAGGGGCGTCGGAGGTTAAACGCTTGACCCAGCTCGACCTGTGGACGTTGCGGCGAATTGCCTGTCTGGCCGACGAGAGCGTGGTCCACGAGCGACGAGGCGGTGGCTGTCCTGGGGCTTCGGTGGCCTACTCTGAGGCGCGTCGACGCGTGCGCGCGCGGCAGCGGGTAACCGCGTAGCCGCCAGCACGCCGCGACGTGCGTCGGGAGTCCGCGCGCAGGCGCGGCGACGCGCGAGCCGCAGCGGCGGCATAGCGCGCTCCGGCCAGGCAGCGCATAAGCTTGCTGCTGAGAAAATGGCATCTGCATCGTGAACACTTATCCCTGATCCTCCTACTGCTTCCGTATCCAATGTGTTCGTGCACGTGCTCACCTACGTTCATGCCGCAGCGACTACTGACCGCTGCAACAAAACTCCCAACAGCATGCTCTTCCGAACTGAAGCGCCCTGCTACGACATACCTCCTGACCACCGCGTGCCATGTGACCTTCCGATAAAGAGATGAGGATGAGGAAGGACCGATTGTTCCGGAGAGATTGGAGCACGCACAGATCCTCGACGCATGAAAATCTATGTTATACTGTCGGAGGTCAGCTGGCGCTCGTGCCCTGATGGCACGGTGAGCTTGCCAGCCCGCGCGAGGGCGACTGCGCGCGGCGTGTGTGGCCGCTGACGAAAGCCACCGGCCACGTCGTGAAGAGCATATATATATATATATATATGTATGTATGTATGTATGTATGTATGTATGTATGTATGTATGTATGTATGTATGTATGTATGTATGTTTGTTTGTAGGTAGGTAGGTAGGTAGGTAGGTAGGTAGGTAGGTATATATGTATGTATGCATGTATGTATGTATGTATGCATGCATGCATGCATGCATGTATATATATATATATATATATATATATATATATATATATATGGGCATGGGGAGTACCGGGCCTCATTTTCCCTATGTTTTTTACAGGGTTTCTGCGTCCTGGGCCTCGGAGTCCGCCGCCTCCGACCCCCTGTGGGAGGACGGGGCGGCCGGGGAGGTCCAGAATAGTCCAGGAGGGCCTCCAGAGGCTCCCAAGACAGCCCAAGGGGGCCCCGAGTCGCCGAAAGACCGCTCCAGGACGCCCAAGAGAGGCCCAAGACGGCCCGAGAGGCCCCCCAAGGCACTCCACGAAGCTTCAAGACGCCTCTCCAGAGCGCTTCGAGAGGCCGAAATCGTCAATTTGACGAAGGCACCCAGGAGGCCCAAACGAGGCCTACAGAGGCCACAAAACAGCCCCGAGGAGGCCCCACAACGGTCCCAAAACGGCTACCGAGAAGCTGCGAAACTGCCTTCACGACGTCCCCGACAGGCCAACCACGAGATCCAAACCAACACCCATAAGGCCTCTGACCCACCACCCAGGACACTGTGGCGAGAGCAGTGACAGCACTTATGCACAGCATGTTCGGGCGAGAGCCTTCCGGAACACGCTGCAGGAGGAGGAGGAGGAGGAGGAGGAGGAGGAAGATCAGGAGGAGAGAGAGAGAGAGAGAGAGCTGGAGTGGGAGGAGGAGGAGGAGGAGGGGGACGAGGAGGAGGAAGAGGCCCCCAAGACAGCTCCAAGATAGCCGAAGAGGCTTCCAAGAGGGCCCTGGGCGGCCCACGAGGGCTTCAAGGCAGTGCCTGAGGCGCCCAAGAAGGCCCGAGAGGGCCCCAAGACGGCCCCAAGAGAGGCCCAAGAAGGGAAACACGAACTGAGAATCCGAGCTTTCTACCCCGAGAGGTTCTCGGGAAGTCCCAAAAGGCCCCCAATCGGATCCAAGAGGCCCCCAAGAAGCCCCCAAGAGGGCCGACGAGGTTCCAAGAGATCTCCCAAGGTGGCCCCAAGAGGCACAACTCAATGTTTTACGATTGGGCTTTGACGGGTTTTAACTTTTTCTGCCTTTTGGTATCCCGATGCTCCAAGACGGCCCAACAGGCTTCCAACGCCGCTCCAATATAGAGGAGGAGGCCTCCAAGAGGGCCCCAAGACGGCCCGCGAGGGCCCCAAGACGGTGCTTGAGGCGCCCAAGACGGCCCGAGAGGGACCCAAGAGCCCCAAGAGAGGCCCAAGAAGGGGAACGCGACCCAACAGCAGAGCGTTCCTTCCAAAAGGCCCACAGGAGGCCGCAAGATGACCCCTAAATGCTTCCCGAGAACCCAAAAGGCCCCTAGGAGACGTCCAAGAGGTCCTAACGTAGCCCAAGAGTGCCCTCGATGCGTCAAAACTGCTTCCAGGAGGCCCCCGGGAGGCTTCGGATTGCCTCAATCTGGCCGCAGGTGGCCTCAAGTCGGGCCTCCACGCAGCCAAGACGGCCAATGACGGCTTCAGATTGCAGAACCGATGCCCCCAAGGGACCCTCAGACTCCCCCCCAAGAGGCACCCGAGAGGTGCCTCCAACAGCCAGTTGACGAAGCACGCGGAACACCCCAGAAGCTCCTCAGATGCCGTCGCGCGCCTGTGCTTGATAGCGTTGTCCAGGATCGTCCAGCGCCCCGCCGGCCTGGGCTAGAACCTGAGCGCGCGCGAACCGCGCGCGATGGTTCTAGTGTGTGTGTGTGTATATATATATGCTGCCCTTGGTCAGTCCAGCCGCGATCACGTCGGGGGTATCTTCCCATCTCGGGGCCCGTAGTTGGCCCGAGCACAGGAGGTCGCGGATCCAGATCACACGCAGCAGTAGCGAGTGTTCTGCCCGAGGCTTGGGTCTCGTAGTTGCCGCGGCTGTGACCGCTCCCATAGAGTCGAGGTGGAGCTCAATTTGCAGCGCGAATGGATGCTGACCATCTCGTTGGCGACGTGCTGCTTCAGGGCCACGAGGCCCCCTGAGTACATCGCGGGGCGTGGTGGCCGGAGCGAGGCCGTGATCAGTTGAACTGCTCGCGGCCATCAGTCCACATGTGAAAGTGCTTGTGGATTTTAGCGCCCCGCGCTGCTGGTCCAGTAGGTGTCGCGTGTGCTTGCCGACGAACGCTCGGCGAGCATCCGTGTCTCCGGTGCCCGTGCGCAAGAAGGTGGTTCTTCGCAGGGC